ATCTGTAAATACTGAACAAAAATATTCATTGAGGCAGTCAGCTAGACCTTTATCCTCTTCTACATACCTTCCTTCTTTTGTTTTTAATCGAACTAATCCTTGTTTTACTTTCCTTTTCTTATTTATGCATCTAAAAAATGTTTTGTCCCCCTTTTTTACTGACTGTGCTATTTTCTCTTCTGTGTGTGATTTGGAAGCGCGTATAACTTGCTTAGCCTCTTTCTGCCTAATCTTATAGATCTGTCTATCTTCCTCACTCTGTTTTTTTTTTTTTTATAATTACTAAATGCTAACTTTTTGTTTTTTACTATTTTTAGCCACATCTTGCCACAGTGGTTTCTTGATTTTTTTGCTTTTACTGACAAACCTAACATAATTTTCTGTTGCGTTCAGCAATGCAACTTTTAAATAATCCCATTTTTTTTAGACTCCATTTAAATTGCTCCAGTCTGATAATGACTCCTGTACACATATTCTAATTTTAGAAAAGTCTGTTTTTCTAAAGTCTAAAACTTTTGTTTTTGTGTGGTGTGACTGTGTCACTGTTCTTATATTAAACCACACTGACTGATGATCACTGGATCCTAAACTTTCACCTACAGTAATATCTGATACCAAATCTCTATTTGTTAAAACTAAATCTAGTATGGCTTCTTTACAAATTGGCTCCTCAACGACTTGTTTTAGAGACAATCCCTGTAGGGAGTCTAGAATATGTGTGCTCCTGGCACAAACAGCTATTTTGGTTTTCTAGTTCACATCAGAAAGATTAAAGTCACCCATGATGATAACTTCCCCCTTCATTGTCATTTTAGCTATTTCCTCAACTAGTAGATTATCTAACTCTTCTACACGAGTTACTGTGTGATTACCAAATTGTAACGTAACCCAAACGGACTCTGTTCGCCTCACTAACTTTTATTAGGCTAGATTTTATGCGATCAATTACATACAGGGCCACACCAGTTGCTAACATTTGTTCCCTTTTGTGAAAGATGCAAACCATCTATCTTGCCTTCCCTGTCTTTTCTATATAAATAGTACCCTGGTATTGCTATGTCCCAGTCATTTTTCTCATTATACCCTGTCTCAGTAACAGCGACTAAATCTACACTCAGTTACCATTATTGCCACAAGTTCATGGATCTTATTACCTATACTGCAAGCTTATCATTTTTAAACATTTTCTACAGGCACCTTCTATCCTTGTTTTGGGGGGCAATTGGATTTATGTTTTATCACCCTTTTGCCCCGCCTTCCCAGTTTGAATACATCCTAACAAAACCTCTGAACTGCTCACTGAGAACATTTGTTCCCTTTTGTGAAAGATACAAACCATCTTTTTTGTACAGTTTATTTCCATTCCAAACAGAGCTACCATGAGAAATGAAGCCAAATCCTTGCTCCCGACACCATTCTCCAAGCCACAAGTTAAAGTCTCTAATACGCATCCGCCTGTCATTCTGAGTGTTATGCACAGGCAGAGTTTCAGAAAATGACAGTGTGGAACCAACCTGCCGTATACCATTGGCAAAAACACAAAAACTTCCTTTACCTCTGAAACCGCATTGCAAGCCAAGTCATTTGTCCCTAGATGGACAAGTACATCCAATTCCCCTTCCTGCTTTGCTCCCTTAACAAAATTACAAATACGTCTCCTGTCTCTGTGAGCAGCAGCTCCGGAAAGACATCTCACAAGACCACTATTGTCCAGCTCCACACCTCTTATGATAGAATCCCACAACAACTACTTTCTTTTAGGCCTCACCATAGTCTCCAAGCCTGACTGAATTACATAGCATGGGTGTCTATTTAGGGGTGTGGCCACTTTGCCACTGGGGCTTGGATAGGACTACTTGCCAGTGTTTTACCCTGTGACTATGGCCCCTTTAACTTAGTGGTTGAGAGACCCTATTTGGACTTTGAACAATGGTTCTTTGAACTTTCTAATTGCCACTTCAAACCACCGAAGGACATTTTCCTGTCCGCCCGCACCTCCCACTCTGTCAGTCCCTACATTGGCTTCCAGTTAGATATAGGGCTTAATTTAAGATTCTGGTGCTTGCTTACAAGTCCCTACATAATGCTGCTCCAATCTACCTATACTCCCTAATACACAAGTATGTCCCGTCGAGGCCCCTGTGCTCTGCCAAAGACCTACATCTATCCTCTGTCCGTACTCCGACATCTGATGCTCACCTCCAAGACTTCTCCAGGGCTGCACTTTTTCTGTGGAACTCCCTTCCCTGTTAGACTTTTACCCAGTCTCCACTTCTTCAAAAAGTTTTGGAAAAAACAGTTCTTCAAGAAGGCATATCACTTAAACTGTTAGCAGGTTTTCATTCCTCCCCCCCTGCAACTGTCAAAAAGTTGTGAATAATTTTCTAGCAACCTATTTCATTACCCCTACTTATACCCCACTCCCTCTAGCATGTAAGCTTATTGAGCAGGGCCCTCAACCCCTCTGTTCCTGTGCGTCCATTTGTCTGGTAGTCCTCCCATTGTACTGCGCTATAGAATTTGCTGG